TAACCATGTCACCTTAACTTCTCTGTGCAATGGTTTGTTTCTTCATCAAAAAAACTATTAATGGAGTAATTGTGAGAATTAAATGAGTTAACACATGTAAATGCACATAGTATAGACAATAATAAATGATAGTTATTATCATTTGTGGAAGTATAGAAATTCTAGTTCTAACATTTATAGTCCTTTAGACTTTAAGGCAATAACTGAAATTGTACCTTGTATTAACAAAGCCATCTTTCCTGCAGAAACATCAATATTAAGGTTATTTTTTTAAAGTGTTTTTCATTATCACAAGCTAATGACATGATTAATAAGACTGATGAAAAAACAAAATGCTTTTTCATTTGTCTTTCAATCCATTAATGGTCTTTATGGTCCTCTATCACCTCTTGACTTTGACCTTAAAATGGTAAAAGAAGATTGAGAGGCCAACAAAGGAACTAGTCATCAAATGAAGTAAACGGATGCTCCTGTGCTTCATGATCAATAGCTTTTCTCTTACTCACTCAGTACAGTGTACCATTATAAACAAACAGTGGTTAGTGCAATAAAAACTGTTCCCTGTGCCCTGGCCAGTTTGCTCAGTGGTTAGAGCGTTGGCCTGTGGTCCAGAGAGACCCTGGTTCGATTCTCGCTAAGGGCACGTACCTTGGTTGCAGTTTGTCCCCGGCCCTGGTTGGGTCATGCGGGTGGCAACCACTCGATGTGTCCCTTTCACATCGATGTTTCTCTCTCTCTCCCTCCCACTCTATCTGAACAAAAAATGGAAAAATGTCCTCGGGTGAGGATTAAAAAAAAAAACTGTTCCCTGTTTAAGGCTGACAGTCCAATGAGAAATTATGGAGAGCTATGGCATGGGAAAGGCCTACACCAACAAGCAGCATTAGGCAACTCAATCGTTCCAAGCCTTATTGATACCATATTATGGATTCCATAATAATGTGAGAGGATGACTGAGGCTTAGGATGAGATAGCACACATACTAACCATACTGAGGACTGAGCCCAGTGGAATACTCTTTTTCTCCTTTCCTGGAATTATTGATGCTTACACATGCCAGTAAGAACAGAAAATAAAACTGAAGATAAAAGAAAAAATAAAAAACCCAGGTTAAAAAAATAAAAATCTCAAATTCTATCCAAAGACACAAGTACAATCACATCTCTCATTGGAGTTGCCATTTACAAAGGCTAAGAACTAAAACCAGGATATAAAAGAATAGGACAATCTTACTTGGTACTCAATTATGCACAAAGCTGGCACCAAATAAATGTTTACCACAAAACAGTGTCTATAAAGTCTATTTCTAATTAACACAACTCTACATTGTAGTAGAATAAAATATGCTGGTCTTACATACCTTCAGCATTTATACTGAGTTCTGTCGAATTTTCTTCTGATGTTGCATATGGATTGTTTCCAACCATCGGCACAAGACAATCCGTATAGAAGTAACCAATCTTACACATATTCAGTGTAGAAATAATCAGATCTATTGCAAGCTGGCCAACATTTCCAACAGATACTGCTGGCTGAATTCATTTAAAAAAAAAAAAAGTTCATTAAGGCATCAACATAGCAGCACTTTTAGAAGTTTAGACAGAAGAATATAATCACAGTACTAGTACTGAATGTTTATGCTCAGGTGCATCATTACTACATACTAATTCTTTCATTAACTGCAGTGTCAGCAGGGGGCCTCCTCCACCTTTGAGATTACTGATTTAACACTTATTGAACACCTGTGTGTCAATCACTACTCTAGGCACTGGGAATTCAGTAACACAAATCAACAGAAGTTCCTGCCCTGATGGAGCTTCCACTGTAGTGAGAAAGCAGTTTACCAGTAATAAAATAAATAGTAAACTATACAGTGGTAAGTACTATGGACAAAAATTAAGTGACGGTGTGTGTATATTTGTTTGGCTGTAATTTTAAACATGTTGGTCAAGTAAAGAGTCACTTCAGGTGTCAAGAAACTATGTAAGGGAGAGAGCCACACAAAGACTGGGGAAAGAATATTTCAGGCAGTGGGAAAGCAAGTGTAAAGGCTGTGAGGTATGAACAAGAGTGCCCTTGGGTCTTCTATTTGCTCTGTTAGTAGTGCCTAAAGGTTGCAGTGAGCTCATTTTCACACTAAAACCACACACTCAAATTTATCCCCATGACTGCAAATAGACCAATTGCCAAATTTCTAGCTACAGCCTGAAACACTTATCTGAACTCCAGAGCCTAATGGATATCTCCCCATGGTTATGTCACAGGTAATTCACATTCGACATGTACAATATTAAACTTTTGCCCACACTTGTCCATTATGTATTTCAGAAAAGGGCAATAATTATTGAACCAATTACTTAAACCAGGAAACTTCTGCCCTTTCTTTTACCAATCATGTCTAATACATGACTAATTTTCATTGATTATATATGTATTTTTTTGCCTTCGTCATATTTTTTGGGTCCTTCAGAGTGGTCTCCCACTTTTCAGTGCTGTCATCTATTAATGTCCTAGTTATCTCCTGTAATTTCTTTTCCTCTTCTCAAAGATTTTGCTACTTTGGTTAGACCTTCACTCTTCCTGTATGATCCATCTTTTCCTCACTACTGGATTCTTCCCATCAGTATATACACATGCTCTACTATCTTTCCTACTAAATAAACATCCTTTGATCCCACATAGTCCTTAGCTACTACCTCACTTCTAGGGTATCCCTCCACAGCCCCAATTCCCCACAGTTGTCCACTAAAACAGAAACAGAAACTTTATTTCTAAATTAATGAACAAATCCATACATATAAATGTCTCCATCTCTTCTCCCATTTATTCAACCCACTCTAATATGTCTTCTCTTTTCACCACTCCACTGGAAAGTTTGTCAAGGTCACCACCAATAATCTTTTAGACATTACTTTCTTTATAAAGCTTTTTTTTTTTTCCTGCCAGGTATCTTCTGCAAGATACTTTGTTCCCTTTTGTGATTAATAAATATTTTTCAGGGAGTTTTTTTGAAATTATGTAAAACTTCCTTCCTCAGAACACTATCACACACTAATTTTAGCATTCATTGATATTTTTTGAATGCATTATGATGAAAATTGCCAGTTATTTTTCTATTATGATCATTCTTTTGTAATTGACACATAACACTGTATCAATTTTAGATATACAAGGTAATTGATATATATATTACATATATACATACATACATACAGGGGTGGGCAAACATAGGGTTACAGATATAATACAAATAAATAATATAATAATAAATAATACAAGAATAAACTGTTTCCCTACTCACGACTATAAACCTACGTTTGCCCACCCCTGTATATTGTGAAATGATGACCAAATACGTTTAGTTTAAGATCCGTCACCCCAGTTACGATTTTTTTCTTGTGATGAGAGCTTTTAATATTTACTCTCTTAACAACTTTCAAATATACAATACAGTATTTTTAACTATAGTTACCATGCTGTACATCCCAGTACTTCTAACTGAAGGTTTGTACCTTTTGACTACTTTCACCCATTTCACACAACCACCCCTCCATCTGTTCTCTGCAGATATGTTTGGTGGGGTTTTCGTTTTTTCTTTTTAAGATTCCACATAGGAAGATTTTCTTAACAGGTCCTCTTATCCCTCCTCTCCCAATAAATCCCCAGGCCTTTCAATATCTTTTAAAAACTTCTGTCCCACAAAACTTCTGTCTCAGTATTTAATGCCTTTATTGATTTACGTGCTTCCCCTAGGCTTTGTAAAACTCCTCGAGGACAAGGACCTAGTGTTGTTTTTTTTTATCTTCACCGAGGACATTTTTCCATTTTTGTTCAGATAGAGTGGTAGGGAGAGAGAGGAAGAGAGAGAGAAACATCAACGTGAAAGGGACACATCCAGTGGCTGTCACCCACACGACCAATCAGGGCCGGGCACAAGCTGCAACCGAGGTACGTGCCCTCAGCGGAACCGAGGCCGGGTCTCTGAACCGCAGGCCCACGCTCTAACCGCTGAGCCAAACCTGCCAGGGCCAAGGACCTAATCTTATTCTAATATTTTCACATAACAATGTTTATTGAAACAATGAATGAACATGGGCAATTGTAAAAGCAATAAAAGCATGTTAGCTACTGGTAAAGTTACCTTTATTACCCTATCGGTTAATGACAATGACTTGATTGCTTAAGGGTGACTCTAAAACTAGTTGAGGAACTGTTTTTCTAGAATAAAATGTAAAGGGAATGTCCCGTACAACATATGTACAACGTATCTGTAATATCCAAACACATCACGTTGCAGTCAACAAAGACTACAAACTGTAGACTTAGATACAAGGTTTGGTGATAGCACCAACAAAGTAATATTTGGACCGCCGCCTCCAGAGACAACCTCCCCACATTTTCGGCGCAGGTTGAAAACCTGAAATAGAAACAAGTACTCTCTTTCTCCCGGGATCGGGCGACACGCCCCAAGTTGGGGTGACGACACTGCAGGCGCCTTCCGGGGGTCAGTGGCCCTAAGTCGGGCTGTGGACAGTTCGCAAAAGCGGGGACTCACCATCAGGAGGGTGAAACCCGTGAGGTCGCAGACCGACTCTCCGCAGGGAACAAACATGGTCACACAGAAGCGGGAGGTAATCACCCGCCAGGGAGGAACGAAAGAGGTGGGAAAGCGAAAACCCCCAAGCGTGGGCTACGTCTGCGTAGAGAAGTCTCTGGAGCTCCGCGCGACGCAGGTGCCGCGAGACCTGGCGGACGGGGTCCTTCGAGTCCCTAAGCACGGGGTCCTGAAGGTCCGTCCAACTACTGCCGGTCCGGAGGCAGAAAGTCAGGCATTGGGGTGCGCCGAGGTCATGAGGTGGGAGCCATGAAGGAGGGGAAGAGGCTGGTGGAGGAGATCAGGCAGGGCGGGGGACAACCCCGAGGCCTGGTTGGCCAGCACCGTTTCAAAACAACTGTTGGGCGCCACCTCCGCGGCAGCCTCGCCTCCTGCCCCTCCGCAGGCCTGACGCGGCGCCGCGTTCTCCCAGAGCTGCGCGGGGCGAGTGGTTTCTCCGGCTCTGTGCTCTTCTGCGACTAACGCTCTGGGGCGGGGCGGGGCGGGGCGCGCCGCTCGGTTGGAGCGCCTGAAGCGGAGAGAATCGGCGGCGAGACGCCGGCCCCAGCATGTCGCTGCCTCCGGAGAAAGCTTCTGAGCTGAAGCAGCTCATCCACCAGCAGCTGAGCAAGGTGAGGAGCCGCGGGCTCTTCTGCCCGCCTGTGGCCCCGAGTGTCCAGCCTGTGTCCCTGGGCCCGCCGACTATGGCACCTGTTTGCCGGGGACTCGGGTTTACAGAGTAACTTTCTAGCCTCGATAAGAGAACAAACCCAAAAGAAAGTGCTAGTGAGAGTCTGAGGTGATAGAATGGCGACAGTATTATAGGACAGTTGTGAAAATGTAGCGTTTATCTAGTGATTTTTGGACGTCAAATCGAGTATATAATTTGTTTTTGGATCAGGTTTGTATTCAGAGGTCAGGAATTGGAATTACTTTAAAGGTGAAACCTGATGTGGCAATTATGTTGAACCAAATCATCGATTCTTAAAGAAGTCATTAAAGGATTTGTAATGAAAGTATTTGTGGTACTTCAGAGCTAAAAAATAATATTGTGTGTTTGAGGTGTTCAACGGAAAGCAATAAGCTGAAGTAATAAAAGCAACCGTTCATTGTGCACTTGTATGCCAGGCTTCCTGCTCTTCAGCATCTTTTTTCTAAGCCTCACAATCTTGGCAGGGCACTCCTTGCCCCAGATTCATAAAGGGTAAAGAAGTTAACTCTAGGTCACATGTAATAAGTTGAAAACGGAAATTCATACTTGGCTGCCTCTCCGTCTGTGTTCTTTTGATTATACTATACTCTCAGAAGGTTGTTTTGGTTGAGTGTTAATTGTGGGGAAATAGTAACAAAGGTAGTAGGGACTGTTTCTAAAATTTGCACTGTTTTTATGTTATTTATATATATTTTTAAAAGCTACCTTTATTCTCATTTAATTCTGTTAACAATTTTACATTTACTATTAGCTGGGGATGATTTACTATCATTCTGCCATTAATTTTTTTGTCAGTATTTTAAAAAGACATTAAGAGGCAATATTTGACTGCTTTGTAATGTTGTAAATTATAATGCGAGTTTTCTACGTAGATGGACGTCCATAGCAGAATAAGAGAAATCCTTGCTGATACAATACGGGAAGAATTAGCTCCTGATCAACAACAGTTATCAACAGAAGATTTGATCAAAGCTCTTAGACGTCGGGGAATCATTGATGATGTGATGAAAGAACTTAATTTTGTTACTGTGAGTAATCTTTTAGGGGTGAAATTTGAGAGTAGAAATATATATTGGGAATCTCTCCTTTTAGTTAACACCACTTTTTTTTTTTAATTGATTTTTTAAAGAAAGAGGAAAGGCGAGGGAGAGAGAGAGAGAGAGAGAAACATTGATGAGAGACAACATCATTTGGCCGCCTCCTGCATGTCCCCCACTGAGGATTTGGCCTACAACCTGGGCATGTGCCCTGAACGGGAACCCAACCTCTTGGTGCACGGGTCAGTGGTCAACCACTGAGCCACACCAGCTGGGCAGTAAAACCACTTTAAAATAAGATCATTTTAGCCCTAGTCAGTTTGGCTCAGCAGTTGGAACGTCAGCCTGCATACCAGAGAGTCCCAGGTTCGGTTCCTATAGGGGCACATACCAAAACAAACCAAAAAAAAGATAAGATTATTTTGTTTAGTAATATCCTTGTTTCAAGTATAAGGTAATATGCTCTGACCCGTATGGCTCAGTTGGTTGAGCATCATCACTGGTTCTATTTCTGGTCTACCAGAGGCTACCGATCAAAGTACAATCTAATGTAACAAGTAGGATTATGTATCAATGAAATTGGAGTTATATACCATAATTCTCACTATAATGACAGAAGTTTCTCTTCTTATTCATTAGGTCTGTAACTTGAAGTATACATGTTTTAGTCAAATTAGTTCATAATCTGGTTCTTTTTCATTAATATTGTTCTGTATATATATATTTTTTAAAGATTAGGCTTCTTATTTTTATAATAAATGCTATTTTGGGACAGTATTCTCTGTGATTAAGAAATGATCAAATTAAGAAAATAATTATCTGTGTAAGAACCTTCAGATCTTTTCATACAAGTAGGTCAGTAGTGGGATGATATAGCCTCTCAGTGCACAAATTAGTAAGTAGGCTTTCTTTTGAAAATGAGGCAATAATGAGAAACTGTGACCTCAATACTGGGTAATATAATGTAAAACTTGGATGGGCTTTATAATACACCAGGGAATAAGTATCTTAATACAGCATCCTTTTTTGGTTTTTGAGGTTTGTAAACCCATTTGGTATAAAAGTTGACCTAATAACAGCTTTTGCTGTGTGAATGTACTTCCTTATTAAAATCAGTTCATGGTAGAGTCATAAGCCTAATGTTATATGAAGTTTAGAGAAAATTTAACCTTGTTTAAGGTATTAGGGATTTGTTTTTAGCATTCTGTGGACATTGAAGACAGTTTAATTTCCTTTTGTTGTTAATCCTCACCCAAGGATATTTTTTCCATAGATTTTTTAAAGAGAGTGGGAGGGATGGGGGAGAGAAAGAAAAAAAAAAAATCTATGTGAGAGAGACAAATCTATTGGTTGCCTCCCTCACACACCCCACCTGGGCCAGGGATTGAACCTGCAACCCTTCCGTGAGAGGCCCAATGCTCTAACCATTGAGCACACTGTTCACGTCCAGGGTGATGGTTTCATTTCTTTCTTTTTTTTTTTTTTTTTAATATGTTTTTATTGATTTTTTTAGAGCAAGAGATAGAAACATCAATGTGAGAAACATTAATCTGCTGCCTCTTGCATGCCCGCCTCTGGGGATTGAGCCAGAAACCTGGGCATGTGCCCTGATTGGGAATCAAACCAGGATCTCTCAGTCCATGAGACAATGCTGAATCCACTGAGCCACACCAGCTGGACTGATTTCTTAATAGTAGACTTTAGGAGTGATCAGTTGCACCACCTCTTTTGTAGGCTTTTCATTATTTTAATTATGGGAGAAAAATAGGGGTCTTTGGGGGGAGGATTTATCCTGTTTACTTTTGGTTTAGTTCTTAGTTCCATTATTGGCATTTTCTTGCTTAACTATAATTTTTGTTTTCTAATTTGTTTTGGTTTTCTTTCTGCCTTCCTAGGACAATGCTAATCAAGAACTCCCTCTCTCTCCAAAACAACCAGTTTGTTTTACTGATAGACAATCAACGTTGTTAAAAAAAAGTATGTGTATTTTTTTTAACATTTAGTTGTGAATAGTACTGAGGATAGCTGTGCTGTCGTATTTAGTATTTGATAGAAAACACTTCGGTTTTTTCCCAGAATTAAATACAGTTTTGCAAGTAATCATTCAAAGAAAACTTAGATTCTGTTTTCCATGAAGTATAACAGAAGATTTAATATATAATACAGTGGAAACAAAAACAGGACCACCTATTTCTCATGTTTTAATAACATATTTTATAAAAGCTGTGTAGCTTTGGTTTTTTAATGGAAATATACTTATCTCACAAGTACACTTCGCTGAGTTGAGATAATTGACTGTGTTGGTTTGTGGAGGTGAAGGAATGTTGGATAAGCAACAAACAGCAAAGGATCCTAAACCTTGGCTTTGATTTCGTTCTAGCTGGGAGAAAGTAGGTAGAATGTAAACTCAGAAAATGGTATCATATTATGTATTTTTTCTTCCTTGGGTGAAAATGGTCCTGGTATATAGTAAATGTGTTACTTTTTTACACCACCCTAGTCTTTGGTTTTATTTCTGTCAAATTATTATTTTCTATTGTCTTGATCACATTTCTTAAGTTGTTTGGCAGTTTCCTCATATATATTGCTACACTTTACAGCTAATATTGATCCAACACGGAGGTATCTTTACCTTCAGGTTTTGAGTGGAAAAGCTTTCTTGGAACATCTACAAGAACCTGAGCCTTTACCGGGACAAGTTTGTTCAACTTTTACTTTATGTTTGCATTTTCGAAACCAACGTTTTCGTTCTAAACCTGTTCCATGTGCCTGTGAACCAGATTTTCATGATGGCTTTTTACTTGAAGTACACAGAGAAAGCTTAGGTAAGGAACAGTAATAAATTATCATTTAATTGAGTAAATCTTTGTGAGGTTTCATTGCAGAGCAACGATAACTTTTGCTATAAGGAGAGATTTATAATGGGTGACTCTCCCTCCCTAGCCTTTTGTTTTATTTTTTCCCCACTGCTCTTTTCTATATAAACTACTTCTTGCTTTATTTTCTTCTAATTAAATTTCCCTGAAGATTATTTTGTGACCATTTTAATGGTTGGTTATTTAGTAATAAACACTTAAATGCATATTAGGTGCATGGTACTATGCTAGGCTAGTCCTAGTGGGGATATAGAGGAGAACGAGACATGATCCTACTTATTTATGAAAGATGACTATGTCTATGATACTAGCTAACTTTTTTTTTTTTTTTTTTTTTATCCTCACCCGAGGATATTTTTCCATTTTTTTGTACAGATAGAGTGGGAGGGAGAGAGAGGAAGGGAGAGAGAGAGAGAGAAACATCGACGTGAAGGGACACATCGAGTGGCTGCCACCCGCACGACCAACCAGGGCCGGGGACAAACTGCAACCGAAGTACGTGCCCTTAGTGGGAACCGAACCCGGGTCTCTCCGGACCGCAGGCCGACGCTCTAACCACTGAGCCAAACTGGCCAGGGCGATACTAGCTAACTTTTAAAAATCAAAGTTTAGATGTGGTACTCATTTTTAAAACTTTGAAATTATGATACTTGATTATTGTAATTGTTTTATACTGTTTCTTCCTGTAAAGTTATTTTATACATTTTATTTTACTTAAAAAATTGTTTTTCGCCCTGGCCAGTTTGGCTCAGCGATTAGAGCGTCCGCCTGCGGTCCGGAGAGACCTGGGTTCGGTTCCCGCTAAGGGCATGTACCTCGGTTGCAGTTTGTCCCCGGCCCTGGTTGGTCGTGCGGGTGGCAGCCACTCGATGTGTCCCTTTCGCATCGATGTTTCCCTCTCTCTCTCTTCCTCTCTCTCCCTCCCACTCTGTCTGTACAAAAAATGGAAAAATGTCCTCGGATGAGGATTAAAAAAAAAAATTGTTTTTCTTTATTGATATTAGAAAGAGGAAGGGAGAGGGAGAGAGAGAGAGAGAAACATTGATGAGAGAGAACATTGATTGGCCACCTCCTGCATGCCCCCACTGGGGATTTGGCCTACAACCTGGGCATGTACTCTGACCAGGAATTGAACCGGTGACCTCTTAGTGCATGGGTCAACCACTGAGCTACACCGGCCAGGCTATTTTGTACATTTTAGTTGCCAGTGTAGAAATTTTTATATTTGTAAACTTAGCAAAGTTGTAGAATTATACCTTCACAATTTTAGATTACTAAAATGGCTAATGCAGTACTACAATTTATTATTTTTTTTCCTGATGAAAAATGTTATCTTATTGAGGCAGTTAAAGGCTTAAATTGCTAGCTCCAAGGTGCTAGCTCTTTCAGTTTTAGGTAGATAATATAGTGATTATTTCTGGAATTTTAGGGATTAAGGTAGTTTGGGAATTAATAGTGACATATTTGAATTATCTAAGTAGCATATAGTTTAGGAAGTACTTTTAATGAATAGAATTATCTCTTAGAGATCAGAAAATACCAATATGCATTAAGTTGTAAAATAACATCACAATTCTACCAGTTCTCTTAAAAGTTATGAGAAATAAGATTGTACTTTTATTCCCAGTCTATTGCATGCTTTCTGAGACATTACTAAATTTTTCTATTTGGTTTTATATAAGTTTATTAATACTTTCCAGTAAAAGTATTTTATGTTGGCCTATGTAATATGTAATATTACATACTGAATATGTAGTGGGTAATTTTTTTGTTTGTTTATATTGCTAGGTGATGGAACTAGAATGGCTGATTCAACAACAATGTTATCAATAAGTGATCCAGTTCATATGGTGCTAATCAAAACAGATATATTTGGTGAGACCACTCTAGTAGCATCCTATTTTCTTGAATGGCGATCAGTTTTGGGCTCAGAAAATGGAGTAACCAATCTTACTGCAGAACTTATGGGTGTAGGTATGATGATTAATATCACTGTTACCTATTTATAGCTCCAGTTTGTAAATACATTCTATATTTTTTTAAATGTCTTTATAAACCAGGAGGCAAACATGTCAAAAGAATTTCTTTAGAATTACAATTGGACTTCAGTGTTGTTATCTTAGAGAATAGTATTAGTGTAGAACTTCACAGTCATTCTGGTCTGTCCTAAAGAAAAATTTTTGAATAAAGAAATTTTGAGAGGTTTTTTGTTTTCAGATTTACTTGATTATAGATAAGGCTGTAAATAATAATTAAGATTCTACACACATACATACATATGCATGCATGCATACACAAAAGACCTCCATTCTAGCACACCCCAGGATATAGTGCATCCCCATTAGTACCAGTGGCTTTCTATGGAGTAGATTTTATTCTACCCTTTTACATGTGGAAAAGTGGCACTCAGAGTTGCTAACTTGCTCAGTGTCAGTATCAATAATAATACCCTTTGAGGACAGAGATGGTGCCTCTTATTTAACGTTGTCTCCTTGGACTCTTGCATACTACTTGATATGTAATACATATTTACTAATACAATGATAAACAAAATAAAAGCTACCAATGTTTTATGCATAGCATAATGGAAATACTTTGGTATTGCAACTTAGTCACAGAGGTAAGCTGACCATTGGACAGTATAGCTTTAGTAATACAGATTTTGATAAATCAGACCCTGAATGTGTTTTTACTTAAATAAAAAATTGAGAAAAAAGTTGTATGCAGGATGTTTATTTTCATCTGTGATACTCATTTGTTTTCTAAGTCTTTAAGTATAAACATGGATTGAAAATTTGAACTCACATGTGATATGGAAAATAGGAAGGGATAAATGGGAATTACTATAAGTGATAAGGAGTATAGATATTTTCTGAGAATGAACAGTTGCTTTGACTTTGGTTTTAAATGTAAGTGTGGTTGGTATTATACATTTAATTAAGATAAAAATTAAGACTTTTAAATGCTTTAGGTTGAAAAGTCACTTAAAATGCAATTAAGAAGCTAAGAAAAAAGATAATATTCCTAAAATTAGATGAAGGCCTCTGTGCCAAGTAAAAACTAATTTGATTTGGTTCATTTTTAATATGAAGATTAAAGGTGATGTTAAATATTTGTTCCGTGTAAGTGGTAAAGCAGAAAAGTTTAAAATTATTTTGGTTGACTAAATATGCATAATCTTGAAACCTCTGAAGTTCTAAATATTTATTTATAACTTACAGGCACAGAATCAAAAGTTTCTGTGGGAGTTTTAAACATAAAACTTGAGATGTACCCACCACTCAATCAAACATTATCTCAAGAAGTAGTGAGCACACAGGTAAATAATTCTGAATTTCTCTTCTTTGTGTAATTGTTTTTATAGTATGTTTACCTGCTGATTGTAGAAAGCACTCTCTTTTTAGAAAATTATGATTTGTTAATTTTTTAAAAAAATCCTCACCCGAGGATATTTTTTTCTTTTAGAGAGAGTAGAAAAAATGGAAGGGGCGGGGAGAGAGAAACATTGATATGAGAGAGACAGCTTAATTGGTTTCCTCCTGCACATGCCCTGACTGGGGCTCGGGATTGAACCTGCAACCCAGGTACATTCTCTTGGCCGGGAGTCGAATCTGAGACCCTTCCATGTGCAGGCCAACGCTCTAACCACACTTACCAGGACATACAATTTGTTAGTTTTAAGCAAGAGAATGACAATTTGAGTTAATATTTTAAAATGTCTTGGGAGAAAAAGATTACTCTGATGTTGTATGGAGACTGGATTATACTGGGGGAAGTGTAGAAATAGGAAAGTCAGGAGACTCTTAACAGATGCTATAATGGTGGCTTAGATTAATTAGGGTAGTGGTAGAGATGAAGAGAAGTGCATAGATTTATATATTTTATAGTAATTAAGGAGAATGAATAGAAATTGAAAAAACATTTTTTTAATTTCAAGCTTGCTTTGGAACATCAGAAAACTGCAGAGAAAGAGCGATTGTTTCTTGTATATGCTAAGCAATGGTGGAGAGAATATTTGCAAATTCGACCCTCACACAACTCACGACTGGTTAAGATTTTTGCTCAGGTTTGTAAATTGTATTGGAAAAGCTTCACTCCTATATTTCATATTTACTGTTTTTATATACACTTGATTTAACTTGTATTTGTAAAATGTACTTCTTCCAGAACAATGGAAATTTATTTGTAAAATACAATGCTACTTTTGTAATACTCTTTTTCACTGCGTAAGTGATATAATGCAATTTTTATTTTATTTTGCTTTTCATTTTTGTTTTTAAACTCTTTTTTTGAAAAATTTTAATTTAAAGTAGATGAAAACCCTTTTGTTGAACTTTGAGTGTGTCCGTGATTGATGCTTAGTATTAAATAATTAACTATTAGAACATTTTGCAATTTTGTATGTAAATTCAACTATTGTGTGCAGAATTGGAGCTCCGCATATATATTTTTTCTAGTTAGGGTTTTACTTATTTATTTTTTTAAGACAAATGTATAATAATTTTTTTTTTTATTTTATTTATTTTATCTTTTCATTTTTTTATCCTCACCCAAGGACATTTTTCGATATTTTGTTCAGATAGAGTGGGAGAGAGGGAGGGAGGGAGGGAGAGAGAGAGAGAGAAACAGAGAGAGAGAGAACCATCAACGTGAAAGGGACACATTGAGTGGCTGCCACCCACACGACCCAACCAGGGCCAGGGACAAACTGCAACCGAGGTACGTGCCCTTAGCAGGAACCGAACAGGGTCTCTCCAGACCGCAGGCCGACGCTCTAACCACTGAGCAAAACCGGCCAGGGCTATAATAATTTTTTATAACCAAGATTCCTTAAGCCAATGACCAATAATATTTAACTTCAGCACTTCAGCTATATATCTTTGCCTCTGTTTTTTTTTGTATTCTAAGCCCATTAACAAACCAACATTAAATATATGATTAGATCATATCTTTTTGTAACTTGTGAGCTATTCAGATACTCTCTATATATTTAGCCTTATAGATGCATTTGGATTATATTTCTTAGATCCTGTGCATTCGTCTAGATTTCCCTAGATTTTTAGAATAGGCTAAAAGTGTTTCAATTTTTAGATGAAGGACTTGGGAATGGGAGATCCTAGTTGACTAGTGGTGAAAATGAAGGACATGGCTTCTGACTTGACAACAGCATTATCTATACATTGAATAACTGGGCAGTCTAGGTAGCAGTGATATCAAATCAAGAGCAAAGAGAAACCAATCGAAATGTAACTGGTTCCCTGCTATCTAGTTAGTCTGAGGTGAGCATGTACTTTGCCATATGGAATGGGACCAGAGAGACTGGAGTGGGGGAGCGTTGCAGGGAGAGTAGATCAGAGAATGGCAAATGAAAGAAGAGGAGGAAAAGGATTGGATATTCAGCTAAGGCAATCAAGGAACTGAGATTATCTTTTAGGAAATATTACTTAAGTTCCTGTAATAGAATTTATTGTAAGATTTGAACCATGTAAGGTCATTTAATCTCAATGGTAACCCTATAAGATTGTCAAGTGGCCAGGCATTGCTGCTTTTTTGCAAACAGCATGAAGGAGAGAGAATTGAAAAGTCTTTTCTAAGTTCAAATAGCAGCTCAGTCACGGCAAACTATTAAATTGCAGTTTTAACTATTGCTCTTTGGTTTGACTATACCATCTCTTTCCATATATAAGAGTAAATAAAATGTTTATCTTATTTATGTTCCCTTCCCAGTAGTGTTTTTTGCTGCTACTTCCTATGTTTGGCTAGATATGAAATTAAGAAACAACAGCAGTTAATTAAGGCATCAATCTAATTACAAAAACTATAGTTGTAAATAAAATTATTATTCATGGTCTGAAAATGAATTTACAGTGCTTCCATGTACAAGAGGAAATAGTATACAATAGCACTATACTGTAGAACTTTCTGCATTGATAGAAATGTTCTTTATCTGCTGTCCAATGTGGGTAACCTCTAGTCATATGTGGCTTTTGCGCACAGAGAAAGGATTTGGCTAACATGATTAAAGAACTGAATTTAAAATTAATTAAAATTTAAATAGCCACCTATGGTTAGTGGCATTCTATTGAACAGTATAGATTTAGAGGTTGAAATACTGAAATTTTCTAGATATTTAAAATAGTTTATGGATATATATTTAGGTAATATTAGAAATATTGCTATAATTAAACAAGTAATGGTATATTCCTGTATTCCAAGGTACTACTATTGATGACTTGTTTAGGGCAAATGCATCCATTTTTTTAATTTACATTTTCATTTCTTTCTTGCCTGTTAGTAGAGTTGTAAGAATAGGACAAACTGGCCCACATGGGAACTAAATTACCTTTATCCTAAGCAAACATCAATAGAATTCCCAGGGTTATCATACTTAATAATCCATTGTTTTTTTTTTTCTTTCTCACTAGCTGGTTTTGCTTTGGTACAATAATAACTCACTTAGTGATAGCTTTTACATTTTCTATGCAAAATTTTTTTAAATAAGTTACAGAAATTGACCTCAAGAACATTATGGTTTTATTTTTTCTATCACCATTTATCCCCTCCATCCCCTCTCCCTGCTTCCTTTAAGACCATTGAGGTGGGTTTTTTCCTTGTTGTTGTTAATCCTCACCCAAGAATATTTTTCCATTGATTTTTTAGAGAAAATGGAAGAAAGGGAGGGAGAGAGAGAGAGAGAGACATCAATTCAAGAGAGACACATCAATTGGTTGCTTCCCGCACGACTCCGACGGGCAGGGATCGAACCTGCAATGCAGGTGTACGTGCCCTTGACTGGAATCAAACCCATGACCCCTTGTTTTTTAGCCTGATGCTCTAACTGCTGAGCCAAACCAGCCATGGTAAGACCATTGAGTTTTAAGAAAATGTTATAAATCATTTGAAGATTGAGGCTATCCTTTCAATGTTCAGATTATGATTTTAGGACTTTTCTCATACTATACTAGATTATTTGTAATGATGAATTAATGTAAAACTAATCCAAGTAATGGTTTTCTAATTCCCTCCAAAATTAGAATCATGATTTTCTGTTTTAAAAAGCAGTGCCTTTGCTCTGGCAGGTGTGGCTCAGTTGGTTGGGTGTTCTGCCATGCACCAAAAGGTTGCCAGTTCGATTCCTGGTCAAGGCACATGCCCAGATTGCGGCTCAATCCCAATCCCCAGTAGGGGGCTTGCAGGAGGAAGCTGATAGATGTTTTACTCTCACATCAATTTCTTTCTTTCTCTCTTTCAAAAGAAATAAAAAAAAATTTTTTTTTTAAAGTAGTGCCTTCCGAGAGAATTAGAGAAAAGGATCTAGGGCCCTGACTAGAACCTGAGTTGTTTCCGGATTTATTAGTTTCACAAGTCAGTCAGTTCCATTCAGTCTTTAAAAAAACTAATCAGTACTTCAAAACACTCTATGCTTAAATTCTTTTTTTTGTCCTTTCTCTGTTCCTTAGTTTCCTTACCTGTCCTTGGTTTTTCATTCTATTTAAGCTCTTCTAATTGATCCCTTCATTTTGTCTCTATTTCTGACTCCTAAGATAGCATCAGAAAATGGAGATTAAGAGACCACCATGACGATGCTGGAGTGAGTGGGGCAAGTCGGGACAGGGGGAAAAAAATCAGTGCCTCTTAGAGTTGAGAACTGTGGGTATGAATGGAAATCATAATAGTCATTTTGCTTTGCATCATATAAAAATTCAGTCTTACTATAATCAAATAATAGGTGAGTTTTTTTTCTTACCTAAACTATGGGATTATATTGGAAAAGTGATGTTATTGTGGTATAGAAAGACATTGGTGGTTCTAATAATTCAAACAGGTGTGTTTCTGTTGGCTAAATTAGGTCATATTTTTGAAGAACCTTGCTATAATAAAGACTTTTAAATAATCTCCGAACTTTGAATAAAAAATGGCCCTTTGAGTTTATCATTTCAGTATTCATGAAGTTGGGAGAATTAAGGGCTTTGGTAATATTAACTCTAAAAGCACAGTGGTGGAACCTTGGCCCGGTAGCTCAGCTGATTAGAGCATCAATGCCATACGCCAAGGTTGTGGGTTTGATCCCCAGTCAAGGCATATACAAGAATCAGCCAGTGAATGCATAAATAAGTAGAACAACAAGTTCATGTTTCTTTCTCTCTCTCTTTCTCCCTCCCTTCCTCTCTCTCTAAAATAAAAGCACAGTGGTGGATAGTCATCAGAGATTCTTCTATGAATAGTAGTCATTAAGTTCAAGTGCTAGGATACATTCTGTATTTAAAATGTAAGATGTTGCCCTGGCATGTGTGGCTGAGCAGTTAGAGAGTCAGCCCTCGGACCAGAGTGTCTCTGATTTGATTCCTAGTTAAGGGCACGTGCCTCGGTTGTGGGTTCAATCCCTGACCCCAACCACAGTCATGTGGGAGGCAACCAATCGATTGAGGCAAACATCTCTCACATTGATATTTCTCTCTCTCCCCCTCCTGCCCTCCCACTCTATCTTAAAAAAAAAAAAAGGAAAATATTCTCGGGTGAGGGTTAAAAAAATAAAATAAAGTAAAATGTAAGATGTTTTCCTAAAATAATTTTCAAAATTCCACTTTCAGTTGACTTGGTTATAACAAATCATTGTTTCCTCTGGGTCTCCAAGTATAATGGAAACAAGTTAAAAATGAGCTATGATCATTATTTTATCAGCTAATCAGAGAAGTTATTTGTTCTGTCTGGATATAATTATGTGTGATAATATTAAAGGATACTTTGGCTTATATCTCCTTTCCATTCCCCACCCACCTGCCTATCCTTTTCATAGAGGATTTTTTTTGTCTCATTAAACTTTGTTTTAATGGGTCTCAAAATTCGGTGACATTTTTGGTCAAGTTTCCATTAAAAAGTACTGATTTTAAAAAACTAATAACTTAAAAACTGCTACACACACACACAAAACCAAATGTTCCATAAAATATTCTTTCCTTCTGAAGGTTTTATGGTGCATTGTAATCATTAACCAGTCTTTTCTATTAAACTTAAATGGCTAATTGAGACAAACAGTTCTGAGACCGTTTTTCCACCACTGATTAAGACTGGGGTGGCAGGTATTGGGGATAATATTCATTTAGCCTTCTGAGCTTTCTGGGCGGACTTGGTGACTTTGCCAGCTCCAGTTGCCTTCTTATCCACTGCTTTGATAACACCCACAGCAACTGTCTGTCTCATGTCACAAACAGCAAAGCGGCCCAGAGGGGGATAGTCAGAGAAGCTCTCAACACACATGGGCTTGCCAGGAACCATATCAACGATGGCAGCATCACCAGATTTCAAAAACTTAGGGCCATCTTTCTCCTTTTTCCCAGAACTACAGTCAATCTTCTCCTTCAGCTCAGCAAATTTACAAGCAATATGAGCTGTATGATAGTCCAGCACAAGTGCATGTCCAGCACTGATTTGGCCTGGATGGTTCAGATTAATCACCTGAGCTGTGAAGCCAGCTGCTTCCATTGGTGGATCATTTTTGCTGTCACCAGCCACATTGCCACGACGAACATCTTTGACAAGCATGTTCTTGATATTGAAGCCCACATTGTCCCCCGGAAGAGCTTCATTCAAAGGCTCATGGTGCATTTCAATAGACTTTACTTCAGTTGTAACATTAACTGGAGCAAAGGTTACCACCATGCCGCGTTTGAGAACACCAGTCTCCACTCTACCCACAGGGACTGCCACGACCTGCACAGCTAGTAGAACCAGACCTGAGGAGGGGTGACAGGAGACATTATACAGAGAAAAGCTGGGGCCAGGAGGGGCACTGCTCTCTGATGGAGGAACAGTGATCCTGAGCTAGTTCAGCATGTTTATTATATAGCAATAATGAAGGGGGAAAGTTCAGAAGCTTCACTATCTTCAGACAACAGATGTTTCCACTAGCCTCTGGGCTCAAGGTCAAGACTGTCGATACATTCTTGCCCATGCCTCAGAATGCTCATCAAGAGACCTTGGCCCAGCTGCCCTCCACAAGGGACAGTACCAATGCCACCAATTTTGTAGACATCCCAGAGGGGCAGGCTTGTCAGTTGGACAACTTGGTGATAGGATGCAATTCAAAGCTTCAAGCAACGTGGTTTCCCTGGCATTTGCATCTTTACAGGTGACTTTCCCTTGAACCAAGGCATATTAGCACTTGGCTCCAGCATATTGTCACCATTCTAACCAGAAATTGTCACAAATGCTACTGTGTCAGGGTTGTAGTCAATTTTCTTAATATGGGCTCTGACATCTTTAACAATTTCCTCGTATCTCTTCTGGCTGTAGGTCAGCTCAGTGGAATCCATTTTGTTAACACCAACAATCAATTGTTTAACACCCAGTGTGTAAGTCAGAAGGGAATGTTCACGGTCTGCCCATTCTTGAAAATGCCTGCTTCAGATTCACCAACACCAGCAACAACTATCAGGACAGCACAGTCAGCCTGAGATGTGCCTGTGGTCTTGGTTTTGATGAAGTCTCTGTTCCTGGGGCATCAGTGATGATCACATAATACTTCTGGTCTCGAATTTCCACAGGGAGATATCAGTGGTGATAGCGACTCACATTCAGCTTTCAGTTTATCCAAGACCCAGGCATACTTGAAGGAGCCCTTCCCCATCTCAGCAGCCTCCTCCTCAAATTTTTCAGTGGCTCTTTCGTCGATCCCACCACATTTGTAGATCAGATGGCCAGTAGTGGTAGACTTGCTGGAATCAACATGTCCAATGATGATGATGTTCATATGAGTTTTTTCTTTTCCTGTTTTGGGTTTGATTTAGTGGTGGTTTTCATGACATCTGCAGTAAAGCTGTTGTGAAAAAGCTAGAGGATTTTTTAAAAAACTTTATTGAGGAATAAATGACAAACATATGGTATATATTAAAGTGTACAATGTGATGATTTGATACACATATACATTGTGGAATGATTACCAAGAACAAGATAGTGAACACACCTGTCGCTTCACATAGTTAATTCTTTTTTTGTGTGTGATGAGAACGTATAACTGAAAATTTGTACCTACATCACCCATACCCTTTACCCTCAGCCCCTGGCAACTACCATTCTATTCTCTGTTTCTATGAAATAAGCTTTTTTTTTAAGATTCCACATGTAAGTGATTCTATACAGTATTTGTCTGGGTTATTTACTAAGTAAGCATAATGCCCTCAGGTTCAATCATATTGCAGATAGCAAGATCTCCTTTTTTTTATGGCTGAATGATATTCCATTGTATATGTATACCATATTTTCTTGATCCATTCTTTCATTGAAAGACATTTTGTTTCCATAAATTGTCTATTGTGAATAATGCTGTGGTGAACATGGGTGTACAACTATCTCTTTGATTTCAATTACTTTGGATATATATATCCAGGAGTGGGATTGCTGGATCATATGATAGTTCATGTTCTTACTATCAAAGGCTTTGGAGTTAGTTCAATATTTGAATCTTGGCCCTGTTGCATAATGGCCGTGGCATCAGTTTCTTCATCTATGAAATGCAAGTAATAGAGATGTTATGAGGATTGAAAGAGAAATTGTATGCATAGCACTCAGCACCTAGTGCTGGGTATAAGGTAAGCAGTTAGTGATATCCAGAATTATTTTATTCTTCATTAATGTACTCTGAGAAAAGGTTTTAAAATTGGAAATGATTAACCTGTCATTACAGATAATATTTTCCCCCTCTTCCTCCAGGATGAAAATGGGATAAATAGGCCAGTCTGTTCCTTTGTTAAACCACTAAGAGCTGGGAGGCTTCTGGATACCCCAAGGCAAGCAGCAAGATTTGTTAATGTCCTTGGTTATGAAAGAGCCCCTGTTATCGGAGGAGGAGGTAAACAGGAACAGTGGTGCACTCTGCTGGCCTTTCTTTGTAGAAACAAGGTATCCTATACACACAATAGAATTAAAAAGCAGTACAGCATAATTATTGTGAATTTATGGTGCATTTTTAAAAGGTATAGATTATCAACTTGAACAAGTCATAATCTTTTCACCATTTTTCTTAACATTTAAATGTCAACACATAAAGAAAAAATTTAGCGTCTTTATTTTCTCATGTAGTTTATTGTTTAACATGTGGTTTCTGTGAGGTAGGAATCTACAAGTACTGTTATGTCAGAAACCAAGATATAGAGGTAAATTAAAGTGAATTAGAGAGAGCACCAGAACCCACTACTGTGTTCTTCTAATACTATTCATGTATTAAAATTTACATTGATGATGTTTTAAAAAGAGAAAATGACAGCACAAAATGAATATGGAAGAAATTACTGGATTCATTGGTGTTTTGATTAGAACCACATATAAGTATATATTTAATAATTTATGTAAATATATTGATGTTAAACTTAAATGAATTTATTTCAGTCAACTAATTTTATAGATTAGGGATATTTCCTAATTTTATGTGTTCCAAAATGTTGATAATATAAAGACAAGTCAGACTGTCTTTAGCATTCCATTTCCATTGAAACAACAGAAAAAGACATTTATTGTGTTACTGTTTGAAACAATTTTGTTTACTCTGAAGTTGTGTAAATAATATAGATATTCACAAGGCAAGCTTATACAATGGAAGAGACTATGTTAGAAATTGATTTGTCAGAACTATTTTGTCTTGGAGATGGTTGAAAACAGTTAAACACTACTTATCAAAATTGTTTTGATTTATTATTAAACTGTAATTCCCAAAAGTTGTGTGTATGGATTTAAACATTTTTATTTCAAACATAAAAGGAATGGTATGTATTTAAAATTATTATATAAATAATATTTTTGCAAAGCAAATAATCACCCATTTGATTCACCATCTTATTTTGTTTAAGTTTGTTTAAAGAGAAGGCACATTAAAAAAAAAAAATTTTGCCCTGGCCAGTTTGGCTCAGCGGTTGGAGCATCGGCCTGGGGTCCGGAGAGACCCGGGTTCGGTTCCAGCTAAGGGCACGTACTTCGGTTGCAGTTTGTCCCCGGCCCTGGTTGGTCATGCGGGTGGCAGCCACTCGATGTGTCCCTTCACGTCGATGTTTCTCTCTCTCTCTCTCTCTCTCTCCTTTCCTCTGTCTCCCTCCCACTCTATCTGTACAAAAAATGGAAAAATATCCTCGGGTGAGGATAAAAAAAAAAAAATTTTTTTTTATTGATTTTAGAGTAGAGAGAGAGGAAGGGAGAGGGAAAACGATAGAAACATCAGTGAGAAAGAACATCAGTTGGCTACCTCCTACATGCCCTCCACTGGGGATTTGGCCCACAACCTGGACATGTGCACAACCTGGGCATGTGCCCTGATCGGGAACCGAACCCATAACCTCTTGGTGCATTGGTTGATGCTCAACCACTGAGCCACACTGGCTGGGGAAGAGAAGGCAATCTTAAATTAGAAACTTGAAAATTATGTAAAATATTTTTTCTGGCACAAACAACAGGATTACAACAGTGACAGTGTAATTTCACCCATAGTCCAATTACCAGTTTGTTTATGTCTTTTTATATTTTTATGTTTTTCTCCTGTTATGTATCATTTTTTCCATAATTATATTTAAGATATAAACAAATTTTTTGTCCTGTTTTATAATTTAGCATTATGCTATGAACATTTACCTCTGTGTTGCAAGTCTTTATGATGTCTATCTTTCAATGGCTATATAAACTTTTCTTGTGTTGATATGTAAAATCTACTTAACGATTTCCCTACTGTAGTTTTTGGCTGTGTTAGGTTTGCTTCCATTTTTTTTATATCATTGAGAATGATATTTTTCATTGAACATCTTGGGGTATATTGTTGGGATTTTTGGAAAAAAGATTAGTATAAAATCTCTATAGAAATTACTGGGCCTAAGAGCTTAGATATTATTTTTTTCTAAAGTCAATTTAATGATTATGAAATACTGTTTGTGTAATTACAGTTTATTAAAAAGCAACAGTGAAGAACCACTAATGTAAAATTGGGGGGGGGAGTGAAGATATATTATTCATTCTAATACTGAACTCAGTAGTCATTTTTACTTTTGCATATTAACTGTATACCTGTTCTTTTTTTTTTTTTTTATCCTCACCCGAGGATATTTTACCATTTTTTGTACAGATAGAGTGGGAGAGAGAGGAAGGGAGAGAGAGAGAGAAACATTGACGTGAAGGGACACATCGAGTGGCTGCCACCCGCACGACCAACCAGGGCCGGGGACAAACTGCAACTGAAGTACGTGCCCTTAGCGGGAACCGAACCCGGGTCTCTCCGGACCGCAGGCCGACGCTCTAACCGCTGAGCCAAACTGGCCAGGGCTGTATACCTGTTCTTAAATACATATCTTCATGTAATTGCAACCTTACTGTTTAATATTTTAATAATGTTTTTTCACAGAATGTATCAGATATTCTTTATTATTTTTGTAGTTTTTATAATTTTTTAAAATTGCGAGAGTAATCTAACATTATCAAAGAGAATTTAGAAAATAGAAGGGAAGCACTGGCCAGATAGCTCAGTTTTAATTAGAGCATTGTCCCACTATGCCAAGGTTGCTGATTGAATCCCTGATCAGGGCACATTCAAGAATCAACCAATGAATGCATAAATTAAATAAGTGGAACAACAAATTGATATTTCTCTTTCTCTCTCTGTCTTTCTCTTCCTCCCTTCCTCTCCCTCTCCCACTTCCTCTCTCTTGCTTAAAATCAATTTTAAAAAATTGGTGCCTGATAATAAAATGTCCTACCTTGGTAAACAAATTTTGTGCACTGGACAGTGTATCAGCCATGTACTAAAAGTAGTATTTTAATTAGATTTCAAAATAAACATTTTTAAAAAAGAAAATACAAGGGAAAATTATATGTAACCACCCTAATTGTAGCCATTGTTGGCATTTTGTTGTATTCCATCCAGTTATTTTCCTATGTATTTATTTCCTTAAAATGATCATATATAGGTACTATAACACATTGTTTTCAGTTTGTGTGTTTTTCCATTTATTTGCATTTCCTGCTCTGTGTTTTGTCAGTTTTTCCATGTTTGTTAGCCATTTATTTTTTAAATCTTAATTGCTTTTCTTTCTATGTTATATGAGTTCTTTATAAACTTTGAATCTGAATGTCCCCTCATAAAATATTCATGTTATAACTATTAGATTTGTGAGCTCTGACTTTGTAAACTAATTTAGGCTCTTCTAAATTTTGTATATTATCTTTCCACCTCTATTGTTTCAGCTTAACACTGGACTAATGATTAAAAGTGAAAAATATAATATGTTTTATTATCATTTTGTATTTAAATATTTAATGAGGAGACAATATGAAGGAACAGATACTTAATTTTTTAGTTCATTGTATTTTCTAGGGTGACTGTGAAGATCATGCTAACCTTCTGTGCAGTCTTCTTCTTGGATATGGATTAGAAGCCTTTGTCTGTGTTGGGACTAAAGCAAAAGGAGTACCTCATGCTTGGGTTATGACTTGTGGAACTGATGGAACCATCACTTTTTGGGAGAGTTTAACAGGACACAGGTTAGCTAACTAAGTTTACAAAGATATTAAAATGAAGATGCAAATGTTTATACGTTCTTTATTTATATTGATAGTACTCAAAGGTACAGGTTGATACTTTTAGTTATTACAGCCTTTTCAGTGACTAGGTAAAAATTACTTCAGTTAAAATATCTGTAAGTGCCTAGTGGGTGTAGCTCAGTCGATTGAGTGTCATCCCATGGACTGAGAGGTCCCAGTTCGATTCCTGGTCAGGGCACATGCCTGGGTTGTGGGCTCGATCCCCAGTAGGGGGCATACAGGAGGCAGCCAATCAATGTTTCTTTCTCACATCGATTTTTCTATCTCTCCCTTCTTCTCTTTCTAAAAAATCAATAAAAACATAGTAAAAAATATATATATATGTAACTAAACTTTAAGAAAATTTATATACATAAAATATTCTTTACCATCATAATATTGGTAAAAACATAAATTACATTTAATTTTATATAATTGGCATATGCTTTTCTGATGATCATCCGAAGCCTAAAAATAAAATCAAGTTGAAATTATGATTTCTTTTTAAAATTTGATATGGTCACCAACTCCATGTTGATAAATCCACTGGACATTTTTTTCCGTGTGTTTTTCTTTCTTATTTATTTATTTATTTTAGAGAGATAGAAAGGGAGAGAGAGAGAAACATCAATTTGTTGTTCCATTTATTTATGCATTCCTTGGTTGATTCTTGTAAGTGCCCTGATGGGGGATCAAAATCGCAACCTTGGTGTATTGGGACGATACTTTAACCAGTTGAACTACCCAGCCAGGGTGTTCATTCTTTTTGTCTGCTATCAGATTTTAGGAGTTAAATGCTTCTTCCTTTCTAGAACATTCTCTTTCCACTCTTATAGCACTATCTTTCAGTTTTCATTATTTTTTTCTGGCTATTCTCAGTTTTTCTTTATCGTGTCTTTAAATATTGGAGATCCAACAGCCCTGGGCCCTCTTCTCATTTTTCTGGGTTCTTTTTTTTTTCCTAGTTGATAATCATTTTGGTTAATTGTACCTCATAACATATAGCTAGATTATTTTAATTGTGTCATCTGAGATAGGTTTTTTTTTATTTTAACAATACATATAGAATATATTCTCATGTTATATTAGTCAAGTTGGCTTCTATAGCATAAGATATGCCATATAATTAATATAGAGTAATCAAATTATAGAAATATAAGAAGGAAAAATTATTATTAAAACCCTAATACTGGGAAATAGTTAGGGCTTTAAGTGTCCTCAGTAAGATATGCTGCCTTTTTAATTTTTAAGTTTTTATTATATAAAATTATGATTTACCTTTTTTAGGTACATCCACAAATCTACCAATCTCGATGAACCTCCAGCTGCTGAACAACCCAAACCATTGTATCCATATCGAACAATTGGTTGTGTTTTCAACCATCAGATGTTTCTGGGAAATTGTCAGCCCTCTGACTCAGTAGAAACCTGTGTATTTGATTTGAATGATGAATCTAAATGGAAACCCATGAGTGAAGAAGCAATTAAATCTGTGTGTGCTCCAGGAGCTACAACATCCCTTCCTCCTTTTCCACCTCTTTGTGCATCCACAATTGATGCTTCAGTAACAAGTAATGAAATAGAAATGCAGCTAAGGTTACTAGTGTCAGAACACAGGAAGGTAATTAACACTGGAATTTGTAGTTTTATGCTTTTTTTTCATTTGTTTATTTATAAACAGTTTTTGAGGGGTGTATATGATAGTGCCAGTCAGTATTCAAACCCTGAACAAAGCAAATACAGCCCTTAACCTTTATGATGCTTATAGTTTTGAAAGTCCTGACAGTTATATTCTGAGACTCAGAAATTTCTAAAGTCACCAATACTTCTAGAATTTATTACTTTCTTCTAGAATTAAAGAGTAACTGCTTAATAAATATTTAAGTTTAATTATATATGCAAATAGTCTATAGATTTTTCTCCCTTCCTACACCTGAATTTATAGTAGGAGCAATCAAATTAAGCAGATTCAGTTTTAATAACCTATAAAGTTAAACAAAATGTGACCTCAAATTTATTGACACTGTCTTCCATAGTAGGACTATTCCGTATGATCTTTTCTAGTGGATATTGAAGAAGTATAGAATTTGGAGCCTTCTCTACATCATTATATTGAATGTTCTTGTTTTTCGTTTAAGAATTAAAATCTGATACCTGTACTTTATTTTTTATTTCTATGTATTTATAATAATTAATAGGAAGTTTAAAAAAATTGACAGGTTATAAAAATCTTGGCATATATTAAAATAACATTTTTGTTATAATTGGCTTTTAAAATATTAATGTGTTTTACTTTTTCTCTTTTGATTGCTATAGGATCTTGGCCTCACTACTGTTTGGGAAGACCAGCTTTCCTATCTCTTATCACCGGCTTTGGCTTCTTATGAATTTGAGCGTACAACAAGTATATCTGCAGGCAATGAAGAATTTCAAGACGCCATAAGGAGGGCTGTACCTGATGGTCACACATTTAAAGGATTTCCAATACATTTTGTGTATAGAAATGCAAGGCGTGCATTTGCCACATGTCTTCGGTAAGATAGAATTTATGAATTTATAAATGTTTTTGGGTAGAACTCTTTGAAATCAGTTAGTTTGTTGGTTATTTAGAAATGACTTCAGAATCACATGGGGAACTTTTATAATTAAGACTTACTTTCCTTGCCCTGGCCAGTTTGGCTCAGCAGTTAGGGCATCAGCCTGTGGACCAAAGAGTCTCGGGTTCAATTTTGGTCAAGAGCAGATACTTCTGTTATGTTTCGGTCCCCGGCCATGGTTGTGGTTGTGCGGGAAGCAACCAATCAATGTGTCTTTCTCACATTGATGCTTCTCTCTCTCTTTCTCCTTTCCACTTTATCTGAACATAAATGGAAAAATATCCTCGGGTGAGGATTGAAAAAGAAAAGAGACTTACCTTCCTTGTCACAGATTGTGATTCATTAAGTCTGAAATGTAGCTTTTGATAGTTTGGGATGATTTTCCCAGAAATTTTAGTACAGTCTTAGTTGAGGATCTCTGACCTTGACTGATGTAATATTTTTAAATGTATAGATTATGAGGAAATAGTCTATAATTTGATTAGCTTGATTAAAATTACAGAGCAATTGGTAGCAAAGACAGGATTTTAAAATATTATTTACTTCTTTTTTTTGCATTCATCTTCAGATAGAGTGGGAGGAAGGGGGGGGGAGAAACATTGATGTGAGAGAGAGAGACATCGAGTGGTTGCCACCCACACAACCCCAACCGAGGTACGTGTCCTTAGCGGGAACCAAACCCAGAACTGTCTGGTCCCAAGGCTGATGCTCTAACCACTGAGAAAACTCGGCCGGGGCTAAAATATTATTTAAAATATTGACTTACTTGCCCCTGGTCAGTTTCAGAGCATCGGCCCGTGGACCAAAGAGTCACAGATTCAATTCCGGTCAAGGGCACGTATCTGGGTTGCAGTTAGGTCTCCACCCTGGTCAGGGTCATGCGGGAAGCAACCAGTTGTTGTCTCTCTCTCACATCAGTGTTTCTCTCTCTCTCTCTCTCGCCACCTCGCACTCTATTTGAAGATAAATGGAAAAATATCCTCCGGTGAGGATTAAAAAAAAAAATACTGACTTACTTGGAAATAATAAAATAAAGCCTATGTTTACTTCTTAAGTGAATACATTTTCTTTCTTCTGTAGGTCTCCTTTCTGTGAAGAAATAATCTGTTGCCGTGGAGACCAAGTGCGACTGGCAGTTCGTGTCCGAGTGTTTACTTACCCTGAATCTGCATGTGCTGTATGGATCATGTTTGCTTGTAAATATCGCTCAGTATTATAGGACTAATATCTCTATAAGAATATACCTGTATTTAATTGGAATTTTACACATTGTATATTAGTACCTGTTTAGAAGTTATTTTAAAAATCACAATCTGGCTTGTTATGTCATATTTCAGTTTTGTAAATACCTGTAGTGTGTGAAAAAAATTATGATGTGTGTATTTAAAAATTAAGGATGAAAAGCTTGTATAAATTTTAGTGGAATTTAGTATAAATTAAGTACATATTCTATTTTAATAAATACTATTTTGTTTATAAGTATTTAGTAGTTTAAATATGAATATAAAATTTACTCAATCTTTATATTAATAAGTGTTCAGAAAGATATTTGTCTGAGGGTTTGAGCCATAGTAATACAATATGATCATTATTTTTCTTAGATTAATGGGATTATTTTATATAAGTTAGGAGGAATTAACCTCACAACAGAATTTATTTATTACATAGGTTAAGAGACATTTTGATGAATTATCACTTTTGTGGTTTACCCATGGCCATAGGGATATTTGTGACTTTTCAGAGATTTATGGGAAGACTTGATACAAGAGTAGGTAAAAACTAGTACCGGAAAAGCATAAATATTAATGACAAACTTCACATGAAAGTATATGAATAATTTATAAGTACTTGTTAGTTTTATTCATTATAAAAATGAATTAGGTATTTTAGAAAAAATTCCTTATACCATTTTGTTGCAATATTGACAAATTGTTTTCTGTAATTAATATTAGTACCTGTTTAAGTTCAGGGTCATGTGGGAAGCAACCAGTTGTTGTCTGTTGTTGATTTTCTGTGGTCAAAGGATTCATTACTAGCTTTTTCATGGATTCCATCTTCTGAAAACACATTTAAAAAAATTATTTTTAATTTCAGTATGATAAAAACATCAGTATATATGTGACTAATCTAAATCAGAGAATAGTTGTGTGAGACCACTTAAAAACAATATGAGTGACTCTTTCCTGATGTTTGTTTTAAAACTGAGCAAGTTTTAAAAATTAGTTTTAAAATAAAGCAAGTTTTAAAAGCAAGCATATAGCAGTTTGACTTTTTTGTAAGAAGCTGCATAATGTAAGTGATAGGTTTGACTGTCAGTCAGCATCTCTGTGCACAGGTTTTAATATTGTCTTTAAGAAAGTAATTGTATACCAGTTGGCTCTGCAAGTTTTTCTTTTTATTACAATTTACCATTGTGAATATGATTTAATGTTTTTTAAAAAATGAAAACCCAAAGATATATTAAAATGTACTTTGTTTTATTTTGTATGTGAGAAATAATGATTTAACTTGTTTTAAAAGACTGAAAATATCCCTCGTCTTTGAATTTTTATTGAAAACAATAATGTTTCTTGTGAGAGTGACATGACTTTAGAGAATTAGCAAAATAAGAATTAAGATTTTTTTTATTCTGTTGCAGAATTACTCATAAAGCTATCAATAAAGAAAATTGCTTGTTAGGGCTAGGAATTTTCAACTTTGGGAACAAATTATTTATGAAGCATGTACTAAGAAGCATACTATATGAAGATCAAGGCTATATTATTGAGGCTGGACTTCATGTATTTATAAATGCTCCTTTGATATAAATTCTGAAATAAATTTTCTTTTTATGCACTATAATAGAGTCAGGCATGAATTAATGTTTGTCTTTAAAGATGGTTTATTTCATAAGATTATTTCAGTGCATTTATCACTAAAATTCCACTACTCTTAACAATAATTTTTCTTTTTAAAAATTAAATTTACCTTGTGTATTTAGCTCTGTCATAAAAGTTGTTTTTCTATTAAAAACATAAAATGTTTTTTATATAATGTCTCTAATGTGTTATTTTTGAAAATATGTTCACTTACATAGTCCTCTATACATATGTAGAAACATTTATTTAGTAGAATATCAGAAACCTAGATTCTTCATTACTCAAGCATGAATGTGTTGAATTAAGTTTATTAAATTCAGTTCCAAATAACAACTCTCCAAGTGCCTTTGAATTTTTTTTCTATTACTAAAGTTTGCATTTTTATTTTATTTTTATTTTTTTAGTATGTTTTTATTGATTTTTTAGAGAGAGAGGGAGAGAGAAACATCAATCGGCTGCCTCCTGCATGCCCCCTACTGGGGATTGAGCCCAAAACCTGGGCATATGCCCTAACTGGGAATTAAACCTGGACCTCTCAGTCCATGGGAGGACATTCAGTCCACTGAGCCACACCAGCCAGTGTACATTTTTAGATCTGCAAAAATCTATAATCCAGCTGTTCTGAAAAGTATACACATTTGAAACCATAATTTCTACTTCTTAACAAAGACAAGATTTGAGCTAAATAAAGTGTAGGCTTTACATTTGAAAAGAATATTACTCATAAAGTAGTATTCTGTGCCAGGTAGCTGACCATCAGAAGACATTATCTATGAACTATCAGTTGCTTATACTAACTCATTAACACTTCTGATTTTATGCTTTACTAAACAAGAAAATAATTTGGATTAGACTATAGTTTGAAATTTCATAATTTTTTCTTTGACTAAATAATTTCATACTTTCTACTTAAGTAGATAAGTACAGGAATTAAATGATGTCTTTTTAACATGTACTTAGCTTTTATACCAACGAAATTAGCGTTGTTTTCCAGCTGTTGGTACTTAAGAAACAGATCAACCAAAGCCTATATAAAACTTTAAAAACAAAATAGTCAAACATAAATTAGAAGCCATCCAAAAATTTTTTTAAATCTTCACATAAGAATATGTTTCTATTGATTTTAGAGAGAGAGGAAGGTGGGGGAAGAGAGAAACATTGATTGGTTGCCTCCCACACACGTCTGAATTGGGGATTGAACCTGCAACCTAGGTATGTGCCCCAACTGAGCCACCTGTCCAGGGTAAAACCATCCAATTTTGAAGAATCTTAACAGACTGTTTATGTAGCATAGCATATTCTACATTTAAAACACAAGTATAGTTAAAATTATGTAATGCATTAAATGTGGGTATTAAATGTTTAATATTTTCTTCTGAGTCAGATTTGGTTGGCATAGTCATTGTAATTACATTTGGTTTGTAAATTAACTAATTGACACCAGTGTTGAAATAGTCATGGATTTGGAAGGAAAGGATAGGTAGGTAGCTCACATACATTCCTATGAAATGAAAGATTTCTTTCTCTGATTCTACTGAATTTAGACTTGTACTAATATTCCAAAACATGTTTCCTAATGTTTTTGAAGGTAGCTAGTCTGATCAAAACTAGTTTCAACTGCCTTATATTTATGCTATTTTTACACATGATTTAGTATTTCATGGCCTGAAATTACAGTGTTTTGGACTTGATAGGAATTTTAGGTCTTCTAGTCCACTTAATAGAGAAGTTAAGTTCCCTGTCCAAGCATACATATCTGTAGTAGCAGATTATTTCTAGAACTAAGTTCTGAATTTGAGTTTACCATTAAAAAATTATTATTTTTTACTATTTGAGTTTTTCTCTCTGGTAATGGGATTATTGGGTATGACCATTAAACATATGGTATGGAAAAATTGGGTTGCCATAGTGCTATCTCCTCCATTAAAAAAGGGGGGGGGGGTACTATTCACTCCTTGAGCCACCATTCCAATGCACTTTTTCATTTCTTATGTCAGTGGTTCTGCTCAAGTAGTAGGAATATGGAAAGCATCTGTCTTTTATGGTACCCACCACATAACCCAAAGAAAATTACAATAATATATAGGGTATCAAGTCAATGACAGATGAGGTCAGAATTATTTTTTAGGGAAGATGACCTAGGGAAACTGAGGCCCTGAGAGTCAGTGAGCTGCCTGAATGAGGTTCCTTGTGGTATGTCAATTATATAAACATGTAGAATTCTATCATTTGTTTGGGTAAAGATTCAGTAAGTGATTGAGGTACTTGGATAGTGCCCACTAATATACATCTAGAAAATATTTGAGTCATAGTCTGTATTCTGAGAATTACTTTTGAAATACATTTATTTACAAATTAGTTGTAACTGGCCAGTTATTTAAATTTTGTAAAATCTTTTGTTTGCCAAAATGTACAGTGAGGGTATGGGAACAATGGTAATACAAAAACAGTTAATTGTCAGAGGTAACAAAAATCTATTCAACTTGAATGCAAGCAAACATTTCTCACCATTTAAAAAAAATTTTAAAGCTTTATTGAGATCATTTGCATGCCATGCAATTAACTAACTTAAAGTTCACAGTTCAGTGGTTTGTACTATAAACAGATAAGCAACCATCACCAGTCAGTTATTTAGAATATTCCATTACCTCAAAAAGAAATCCTGTACCCTTTAGCTATTATTCTTCTATCTCCCCATTCCCTACCCATTATTCCCACTACCCCAACCTCTAAGCAACTACTAATCCACCTTCTATATAGATTTCCCTATTCTGGAATATCATATAAATGGAATTATAATACATGGTATTTCGTGTCTGGCTTTTTTCACTTAGCATAATATCTTTAAGTTTCATCCATGTTGTGACATGTATTGTTTTTTATTTTTTATCCTCACTTGAGGACATTTTTGGCATTTATCTTCAGATAGAGCAGGAGGGGGAGAGGGAGGAAGAGAGAGAAACATCGATGTGAGAGATACACATCAAGTGGTTGTCACCCACACAACCCTAATCGGGGCTGAGAACAAACCGCAACCGAGATATGTGCCCTTAGCGGGAACCCGGGACTCTGGTCCGCGGGCTGACACCCTAACCGCTGATCCAAACTGGCCAGGGCATAGCATGTATTATTACTTTATTCCTTTTTGTGTCCAAATAATATTTCATTGCATGGATATACCATATGTATTTATCCATTTGTCAGTCAGTAAACATTTTGGTTGTTTCCACCTTTTTACTATTATGAATAATGCTGTTATAAGCATTCAGTGTACACGGTTTTGTGTGGGCACAGGTTTTTATTTTCCTTGGGTATATACTTAGGAGAGGATTTGCTGGGTCATATGGTAATTCTATATTCAACAGCTGCCAACTAGTTTTCCAATGCAGCAGAACCATTTTTCAATCTCACCAGCAGTGTGAGGGTTCTGATTTGTCCACACTCTTACACCTACTATTATATGACTTTTTTATTCCAGCCATCTCATTGGGTATAAAGAGGTATTTCATTGTGGTTTTTATTGGCATTTTCCCAATGACTAATTTTATTTAGCATCTTTTAATGTGCTTATTGGGCATTTGTATATCTATTTGGATACTTTGCCTGTTTTGGTTTTTTTTTTAAACTTATTTTTATTGTTGAATGTATTACAGATATTCCTCCCTTTTTCCCCTATTAACCCCCTTCTCCCTCCTCCCGCTCCCCTCCTGCCTTTCCCCATACTATTGTCTGTGTCCATTGGTTATGCATATATGCATATAAGTTCTTTGTTTATTCCCCCCCCCCTTTTCCCTTTAAGGTTTGTTAGTCTAAGAACCAATTTGTACTTCTTAATCCCTTCACCTTTTTCACCCATTCCCCAAACCCAAACCCCCATCCCATCTGGCAACCAACAAAATCGTCTCTATATGAGAATGTTCCAGTTCTGTTTGTTCATTTTGTTTGTAGATTCAATTATCGATAGATATCTATTTATTGCCATTTTGTTTGTTCATATTTTTTTATCTTCTTTTTCTTCAAGAAGACCCTTCAATATTTCATATAATAATGGTTTGGTGGTGATGAACTCCTTTAGCTTTTTCTTGTCTGGGAAACTCTTTATATGTCCATTGATTCTAAATGATAACTTTGCAGGATAGAGTAGTCTTGGTTGTAGTTTCTTGCTTTTCATCACGCTGAATATTTCTTCTACTCCCTTCTGGCCTGCAAAGTTTCTTTCGAGAAATCAGCTGACAGTCTTATGGGAGCTGCTTGTAGGTAACTAACTGCTTTTCTTTTGCTGCTTTTAAGATTCTCTCTTTGTCTTTAACCTTTTGCATTTTGATTATGATATGTCTTGGTGTGAGCCTCTTTGGGTTCATCTTGTTTGGGACTCTCTGTGCTTCCTGGACTTGTATGTCTGTTTCCTTCATCAAGTTAGGGAAGTTTTCTGTCATTATTGTTTCAAATAGGATTTCAATTTCTTATTCTCTTTCTTCTCCTCCTGGCACCCCCGTGATGTGAATGTTGGTATGCTTGAACTTGTCCCAGAGGCTCCTTACTCTATCCTCATTTTGAGGGGGATTCTTTTTTCTTTTTGTTGTTCTG